TTTGCAGAAGTTCATTTGTATTTATATCTATGGTGTATTGTGTACATTTGTATTTAAATCTACAGTTCACTTATCTGTTGCAAACAAATTTGGGACACATGCTTAATATATCTGGTATCTTATTTTCATTAAGATACATGCTAGTTGGCCCAGTGGCTAGCACGACTGTCTGGAGTTTTGAGAGACTATGACCGCTGGTTCAAACCCCACCCGTGGTATGGTTTGTTTATACAACTCTCTTGCGAAAACCTTAATTTTCTATATCCGGTATTTATTCAAAATGAATATTTCTTATTTTTTCTAGGTTAGAAATTTCGTCAATTTATATCTGTCTTGACTCACGAAATCGTAATGACACGATTGCGAGTTTTAAGACTCTCTGATCGCGGGTTCCATCCCCGCCCGTGGTATGGTTTATATTTGTCTTCTTATATTCCCCGATATTATTTAATAATATGTAGCATAAGGTATTAAGAACATTAGGTTAGGTTAGTTAGGTAATATTGGTCAAGAAACAAGACAAGTGTTTCCTGACGTGGGTCATATGATGTCCCACAGCTGGATCTTTTGGTCATCTGACCGAGGCCTTCCGCCTGCTTACGTATCTACTCCTTTAAAAACTGAGGATGTAATTATAATCACAATAATATAGTGTAGTTAGGCTAGGTTATTTGGCAGAGTCAAAATTAATAGAGAAAAAAGACAGTAGTATAGCATTGTTAGTATGAAGGATCATTTATTAATTGCTTCACATTTTCTTCTATCAGAATTTTATTTAGTAATCTCTTAAATCGGGCTGATTATCTGTTTTTTTTTTTTACCTACATTCTACTTTTGTGCTGTTTAGACAATCCTTGTCTCTTAATTAGTGTGTGAGGTTAATCAGTTGCTTTAATATCTCCGTTTGTTGTAAAGTAATTAGAAGTACAGCTTCTTTGTAAACAGAGACACTTGTGGTTCAATGGAATCATTTGTTGACGTTTCACCCATACAGTAGACTTTAGCACATCGCAAACATTAACCACTGCCAAATACTACTATTACTACTGCTGCCACTATTACTATTATGCTTCTCTTCCTTATTCCTTATATCTTTCCTCTCCTGCGTTTTAACTCTCACCACTACCCTCGTCGTAGGGCTGGTAAAAAGTGTATTACTTGGAGAAGTGTATTACTTCTCCAAGTAAATACACTGTAAACAGTGTATTACTTGGAGAGAACCCCGGGCCCCGACCTGAAAACCATGTAGAACGTTTTACTTTC